CCTTGTAGATCGGCTGTTTCTGTAGTAATTTAAGCCATATTTGCACTAGTTTCCCTGTCAGGGTGACCTCACTGTAGGGTCGAGGGCAGTCAGTGTCTAGGAAGTTCACCTTCATTAGAGCCTGTGCATTCCCAGACAGGAGACAACATTGGGCAAAGTTGATAGCTTGGGGAGACGGCCACGTGAGTAAGGAATCTTCGGTCTGGAAAATGGAAAGGCAGTTGAAGTTAAAAATGCTTCTATGTTGTTGGCATGCACAGACTGAAAAAAAATAATACTGTAGCGAACTACTGGAGGAGGGATTCTGAATTCCACGTCGAATCTTTGGGATTTTGTCGTTTCCCCTAGATTCTACCAACCATTATCTGGGGGAAGTAGCACTGCTTATAGCATTTTTCCTTTAAAAAGGGATAAAGCCGTCAGATTACTAAAAATCTTGCAGGCTTTGTGCCGCTTAGAGAAAGTGGTTCACGGATTCCAATGAACCACTGCAAGTCATTCTCAACAGGAACGCAGAAAGGATTCTTAACTAAGGTCCTCTTCTGTCGGACATGACCGTTATTGCAAGGACACGTGCCACGGATTTAGTTAAAACAGATGAGCTTTTACAACTACCTTACTCTTAGCAGGAAAGCGCATACAAACTTTCCTAGTGGATTAAGGCAACGTTCTTGATTATAGTCCACAAAACAGCACATCCTATCCAGGTATAGCAGTCAAAACCCCTGCAGAAAGTTTGATGTGTAGATGGAAAGTAAGCGGTCTGGTTTAGAGACGGGAGAGGGTGTCGGAATGACTTAAGCGAAGTCCCTTAAGGATGCGTTCTTGAACTGCTCTATTTCCATTGGGCATGAAGTCGAGATTTCTGTTTTTTTGCGGTTTGTCTATAAACATGACGGGGATTCGGGAAGAAGGTGGAGACAAAGGTGAAGGCAAATAGGACGTATGCTGGTGCATGAAGTTCAATACCTCTAGATGGATCGAAAAATACCTCCGCACGGGAGCTTCTTCGAAAACTATAACAGACCAGGGTGCCCTGGGTCCTATGATGCATGGCGATATAAACCGAAAAGTTAACTACTTAAAGGCAGCTGTGAGATGTGCGACGGGGTCAGTGGAATTTACAGGATGCACCTTTGTCAAACTAGATTAAAATCACTTTTATATTTGCAGAGGTGTGGTTCAGAGGTGGACCGAACGCTAGTAGTATTATTTTTTATATTAACACCCTACTGTATTCATTTTAGTAACCACCATAGTGTAAATAATTGTACATAATTTGACCTGTAGGTTTCATTTTTCTCGGATAAACTTGCGCAATTGACCAATAGAACTATCAGGAGCACTAACAGATTGATTTTTCTTAAAAAGACAGTAAAAATTGAATCACCAGACAGTTGGAAGAAAATGAGTCGACGGCTGAAGCAGCCAGGCTGCCTAGGGTGGAGGATGCAGCATTAGCGAGGAGAAGGCAGCCAGCCCAGTCGCAGACACGATAGAGACCCTGTACTCCGCTTGCAGCCTCCATGCGAATCGGCGTGATGGGAAGACGACGAGTTAGGAAGTCAGTACGGGTGCTGGGCTGCGAGTCGGCGAGGCTGTTTAGGTTCTCCACTTCCTTGCTGGCCGACATGATATGGGCTCGACAAAAGCTTATGACTAGGATAACAGGGAAAAACAAGGGCCTCCTCTTAAACATAAGTGGAAACTAAAAGTTATCCAGCAAAGGTTTCAGTGAATTGGCGGTCCAGGATCCTCAACCATCACTGGTAAACCGAACATGAACCGAGAGAGGTTTAAACTCAGAAGATGCGAAGCCACAGAATGGACACATAGCTTCCCCTTCAAGCATTATCTGATGAGACTTATGCTGACAGACGGTTTCATATATATACAAATACAAATAGTGAGGGACTCTTGTGAAAAAGAGGTTTTCTCACAGGGCTTAAAAAGGCCCGGTATTCTGTAGTATTTGGGTTTGACAACGAAGAATGCAGGAAAATATATCTGTTAAACAATGGTAAGCAAATGCATTAGTTGACTTAAGGGTGACCCATAGTAGATACTTTGCGGAATTTTGTTCAAGCCCTTTGGCTACCCTGGCCCTAGTATGGTTCCGCATTTATTTACCTACAGCGAACAATGGCAGCTAAAGGTCACCCCGGCAGAGCTGACTTAATCGCGCAGTGAACTGTACGTTTTTCATTCCTTGATAACGGGCTCGAGCGAGAGTCCGAAACGTCGGGCAAATAAAATACTGGTCCCAGAGAACGTTTTTTCGCCTTCAACTTGAATATTTTTGCATACGGTTTTTGGATAGGATCTTCAAAGGCATTACCTATTACCCTAAATATACTGAACTAAACATAATCTAAATGACTTCTCATGCTCTAGGGGATACGATACGCGATTATCACCTAGAATACAAGTGAGGCCGACACAGTCTACCCACGCGTGTACTGCAATTTTGATATGCCTTTCAACACGCAATTGGTGGTATAAGTCTAGTATACCCAAAACGCAAAGCGACTGAAAAATCGGTTAGGTAGACTAGCGTAATACAGAAGCCCTGGTAAAAGGGGTTTTACGGGTGTTGTATATGGGCAAAGCTTAAAGAAGCCAGAAAAAATTGCTTAAAATAGAGGATTTAGGACTTGGCAGCATGCTTTTCAAGAAAGTAAATGCTTAATTGGTACGGCCCAGCGCAGTTCAAAAACGGGAATTGGCAGTCAATAGCAAAGGTTGAGGGGGAAGGAGAAATTTGACCGCCAAAAAAAGGTCAATCTGAACCGAACGTAGGCCAACTAATTGGAATGAAAAAGATGAAAACCATGACCAAAGGGCGTAGAAGAAGAATAAGCAGAGAATGATAGCCGGAAAGAGGGACGGTAACGATTTTTTATATGTACTTCACTATGTACTTCACTATAAATTACTGGCTACTTATTCCGTTGTAGTAGTCCTATTTTCTTCTGTACGTATTCAACATTTACCAACCAATTGCATTCCCCACACTAAATTTGTATCGCCCTGTGGTTACTTTTACTTTTATAATTTGCGTGTTGCACTAACAGTTGCGACCAGCTGCTCGATTCACGGCAGTCAGTCAAGTCTGTGTGCGCACATACAGCAATTTGGATATGCCCTTCAGCAGGCAATGGACAACTGCTAATTAAATTTGCTTACTTTCCTTGGCAATGTGATCACATCGTGAGAATTCCCTGAGAGAGTACGCAGTGACGGCCGCAAGAGCACACGCTATAACAAAAATGAAAGCAGTGTCAGTTAAGTGGTAGGCGACCTTTCAAAAGGGCATAAAAACTAGTGACGCCTACCGTGTATATCCAGATAGCCCTGGCGCTGCCAGCCTTCCACGGGCAGTAGAGGCGACAGCAAACTCGAAACCGCCTGTAATGCTTCAAGACTGGTTGCGGATTCTGATGCTCCGACAGCCACCCCCTCCTCCTCTGCCGCTGCTGTCGATTCCCGCTGCTGCATCCTGGCTTCTGCCTCAATTCCATACAGAGCAGCCAAAATCTGGGAGCATGCCTCACCAATAGCAACTGTTGCCTTGGCTGTAAGCGTGAGTGGGGGCGCGTCCACCAGAATGTTGCGTAAACGACTCGTGTAGGTCTCCAGGAGATGTAAATCCAGGCGACAAATGCCGGTTAAATTGGTTACGAAGGCATCGAAGGTGGGGTTTCTTCCAGAGTTCGCCTCCTGTTTGCCATTGTCAACCGTTACGGAGACTTAAAAGACACAGATGTATAGTGAGTAGTTGTTGATGTGGCATCGTTGCTTCGGTAGACAGTCCTGACTCTTGGTCACTGTGTTGCTGTAGATAACCCAAGCGTCAGAAAATTACAAACAGTTGCACATCCTACTTGCACTAATTGAGTAGCCATGTGTTATTACTATTTTGATTATCCTGCAGCTGCTCGCTTATCGCCTGCAAACATGTAATTGGCGTATATTTGTATGCATACGTTTCCTAGCCACTTTTTTATCAAGAGGAAACACAAAGGCGTTCGTCTAGTTTTCCTAGCACAGAGGGCATACACTTACCGTTTCGCTGGCAGGAATTGGCCCATGAAACCATCTGTACACCAACATTTCAAATAAATGAAGCATATTGGTGATTTTTCACAAACAGAAGGCGCCAAGTTTTCAGTGTATAGGCAATAAACTGCTGCACCGTGCATCCAGGAAAGAAACAGAAATGTAAACTATGGAGATTTCGGCATCTCTCGAATTTTGTTGTGGCGTAGGCAAACCCATTAATGCGCGGATCTAGACGCGGCATTAAACTAAAGTCTATAGATTAATAGCAGCGTCTCAGCTATACAATTTAGGCTTCACTGGTGGCTACAATGATGGTGATTCAATCGTGAGGGATTAAGTATACTTTTCTCCGAATTGTTCTTAATTAACAGAATACTAGGTTGCAGGAGAGGCACCAACAAGGTTCATTCATCAACACAATAGGCTAACATAAACAGCCACGGTCTTTTATGGTGTGAAATCAGAAGAGTAAGGGGACCTTCATTTTTCAGTTTTGGTGTACGGCACGGCCAGAGCCACAATGCAGCGGCAAAGACTGAGATTTTAGACGAGGGAATAACTTTGTGAAATTTGGACTCCAGGTGTCTCAACGTTCGCCTGATATTACAGCACCGTAAAGCTACCTGAAGGATTGGATGTATGTCAATAAACTCAGTGTCGATTTTCAGCCTAGAGACAACAATAGAGAATAAATGCAGGTGCTGCCTGAGCTGGTAAATAGAACCCATGCATGGAAGTAAGAAAATAGGAGTGGTCTAAACAACATGAATTTTCGCAATTGTTTCCTCTGTATGCAATAATGCAGACAATGCATTCACGGCAAGCCAGTTTATGGTCCATCCGGTCCATCCTTCATTAATGACTGCTGACCAGAAATCGATCCAAACAGTCAAAGAAAAAACAGTACTGCCGGCAAAGAAAAGGGAGATTGGTCTTGTCTTTGCCAGCAATGCTATCTGCCTAAAACTATTAGCCTTTACGGCTGATGTCAGGGCTCGAGAAATGTGGCCCAAGCGGGACGGGTGAGTGCTGTAAGCGGTTGGTGAACGTTCATCAAGGAGAGTCATATAAAAGCCGGCTTCTGGACACAAAACATTAGCAGAATTTACTGACGCATATAAGATCGGAACTGTTGTATTCCGTAATTAAATGACAGCAAAGGTAAGTGGCCGTGACACATACATAGGGCTGATTCGATAAATAAACGAATGGCCGCCTCCAGAGCGTAAGCATTCTCGGTGTCCGAAGCAAGCGTTAACATACAAAGACTATTTAAGGAGGGTGTGTTGTCCGGTAACTGAAACGTAAGATGCAAACAAGCAGGTTAGGCAAATGTTTCAATCTAAATTACACATAAACATTAATCTGGACATTGGGCCTGATAGACTGCCTTTTGATTTCATATAAGCCATAAGTGACATAAGAGCAAAGGAACAATTGTATGTTGTCTAGAGAGCTAAGCAGAAGGGCAACAAGCCGCCTACAGAGAACTGCCTTCAGATAAAAATTCAGGTGACGTTTAATAACGGCGGAGAGCCGTGTTAATGCACTCTTTTATCCCGCGCCAACAGGCTTCATGGGCGCTATCCTCACGCAATTATACAGGAGATCGCAGTGAAAGAACTTGTTCCCATTAATGACAGTAAGTCTGCAGCATTCCTACTCAAGTACTTTCAATTGGCGGTCTGTTGGGTTTTGGTGATTTGAATAGAAAGGCTACAACTGGAGGAAAACAATTAAATGCAATTGATTCTGATTCAATGAATCTTAAGAATGGCTTGGATTGAGTTAGTGAGGATCAATGCAATCCCAATCGCGTAAATAAAAAGTGTTTCTGTTCAAAGGTGCTGCAATACTCCGTGAATACTTTTCAACTGTCTCTGCTTTGTAATTTTCAGCCAACCACAAAATTTCGTAATTAAAATTTTATTGTGCATGTCACTGACAGCAAGTAGAACCTCATATAGTGTGAAAGGTTCCTAAATCTGCGCAAACACAGTTCATATATTTGCAGTAATGTATATTGGTGTCTGTTATATGGAAGGGAAGATTGTTCACATCGGTGCAATATCCTGTCAACTTTATTCTGGGCGTTACTTTCGCGGCTGAAGCGGTGGTCGAAGGTAGAAGGAATAGAGGACTTTTGTGGTCCATTTGCATCGTCGTAAAACGCTGCTTGCTAACTGGATATAGCTGTGTATGTTGGCACCCGAAACTTATTCGAAGTTCGATTGGCAAAGATAGTCACGTTTTATCAGAAGATACATCATAATGCAGGCAGTGAAATGCATTTACTCCTAATTACTGCGTCAGTGGGAACCATTAAGATGTTTAGATTAGCCAGAAAGTTTAGGTTAAAAATAGAATAAAGGGGTATCTAGATCAGTGAGTGCCGAAACCCGTACGCTAATGAGCCCGTGGCTCAAAGGTTAGAACTCCTAGTCAACAGGTGGTGCCCCACCTCCGGTTGAGTATGGCTGACTGATGACGGCTAATAAGCCAGAAATTACAACACCAGTCTCCCTTGCCTTTGTCGGTAATGTTCATCTGAATATGAAAACGGACTGTGAGCGTCCTGACCCTACCGAGTTAATTATTTATAGAAAAATAAAATTTTATTCAGAATCAAGCTCATTTTACCTCCAGTCGATAACATACTAACAGCCGAATGAAATTTTTGACGCACTCCAATCGCTTTTGAGGTGCTCCGTTTCTAAAACAAGAACATTCAGTTGTAAAATGTACGTAGCAGTTTAGAAATTAGAAATTAAAATTCCGTCCACATTAACCAAAAACACAATATGGACGGAAAAACGAATTCTTACGTTGCATAATGCGAGAGAAGAAAAACGCAGCATTGAAGACCCAGAGCATAGAACCGATCGGTATTTTTCAGACAAAATTGCAATAGTCCCTGTAAGCAGGAAAATACAAGAAAATGAGTAATTTCTCATGTCTTCAGAGCTCGATTTTGAAAATGGACTAGTGACTTAATGGCACTCGACCAAAATGGACGAAGCAAATGGGTCTATAGAGGACGAAGCACCTAGCGTTATACGCATTAAAACTTTTAACATGATCCTTTTTGTAAAGCAATGTGACAAAAAACAGGAGGCCAACGAAGAGGTCCATCTGCGAGAGGATGGTAAGAAACATGTATCTGGATTAAAATTTTGCAATCAAATAAAGAGAATCTGAAAAGACAGCGCATTGGTTCGGCAGAAAGTACAATATAAAAGGCTTCACGATTCCTGAATTATTGATTTAGCGAGTATCCTGAATAATGGTCAAAGGGCGAAGGTAACTCCATAGGTTGTTCACATACCTGCCAAGCTACGGGGTTCGAAGTGTCAACTTTGATAGCGAGATAGGCAGTATCGATCGCCTTGTCTTCATTCTGCAGTTGGTCATGACAAGCCGCCGCGAGAACAAGGGCGTTGTAGTTAGCATCTTCGGCTTCCAGCACAGGCTTGAGGAATGTAAAGTGCGTAAGATAAAACACAATAAAATAGAGGAATTTACTAAGAATAGTGCACAAGTTCGTGCCTTGTAGTTTTCAGTTATATTCGTGCCACTAATTTAGTAGTCGTCTAACTGTCACGAGAAATGAAAAGACCAAAGATTTTAACGAATACGGAGTATTAAGCGCCTTCATGGTTAAACTGTATAAAAACAGTATTTCGAAGTTGCACTGAATTTATTACGCCCATACCGAATAACTGACAACTTAGATCGGCGGATAAACCTAGTGGGAACAAGGGACAACGAGGAATTCCCTTATGCATATTCTATAACAAATATTGCCCGTCAGAAAGCAGTCGTGTGATGCAGATATCTTCCTCATTGTGTAGAATATTCTATAACCAATAAATATATAAATTAGTAACTTGATATCAGATTCGATGCATAGTCTTAGGCTAAGTGCGCCTAGAAACCGCAATGGTTCACTTCAAAGGCTTCACTCGGAAAGCCGTAGGTATACTGGTTTTCTTTGCAATAGTTGTCTCCCCGGCGCAACCATCTCACTGTGTGGAAAAAATGAGATGGCTCGAAATGTAAGCGGAAAATGCCTGGGATTAAGAACTATGGGGATCACTTGGGAGAGTA